TATTTAATAGAGTGGAGCGTTTAATGGAATCTCTTTCAAGTTCGGCGTTGAATTCGTTTGACGATTCTGGCCTTCATGTGAGGTTGGAGCTTATTGAGGAACTTCAAGGAGCATTTAAAAAGGTTCTCAGTGAGCTTGAGGAATTGGATTTCGACGAAATTGAAAACGACTTGGACGAGAAATTTGATGACGTCGTCGTAATTCTTAAGTCGACGGTTCGATCGGAGATCACAAAGCGCTCCTCGCAATTGCTTCAGCATTCAACCTTTGCTGATGGTAATACGCCCGGTCATTTCAGCCATCAACAGCGACAAGCTCTGCACCGAGCGATTCCACTTCCCGCTCTTAAACTTCCGAAATTCGCTGGAGGTTATGCGAATTGGGCAGATTTTTATTCCATGTTTACAACCATCATAGATAGTCATCCTGACCTGACCAACAAAGAAAAACTGCAGCATCTACGTTCATGCCTGAGGGATTCTGCGTTGGAAACCATCCGCTCGCTGGAAATTTCGGATGGCAATTATTCTGTGGCTTTGGACTTATTGCAAAACCGATTTGATAATCGTCGTTTGGTTTTTCAGGCACACATTACTGAGATCCTGGGGCTTAAGGCAGTGCAGAGGGGTTCCGTCTCGATGCTTCGTGATCTGTCTGATAAATTCAACGCTCATATTCGTGCTCTAAAGGGATTGGGCACGACGGAACAAATCGCAGGATGCATCATCGTCCAAATACTGCTTCAAAAGCTAGATCCTGCGAGCCAGGCCAAATGGGAGGAGCGATTAGAGGATCCAGCATTCGTCAATCTAATTCCGACGTGGGAATCCATGGCATCATTTTTGGAGCAGCGATGCAGAACATTGGAGACTATAGATTTCGCCATGGCAAGCTATGCGTCTGGCAATCAGGTGGGAAACAACGGAACGTCTAATTCTCGTAGATCCGCTTTTGTTGCCACAAATATTAACCCTTGGATTTGTTCGTTCTGCAATGCTTCTGGTCACTCCATTCATTACTGCCAAGATTTTAATACCCTGCCCCCTGCAAATCGGCTTCAAGAAGTAAAGAGGCTCTCTCTTTGCATAAACTGCCTTAAGATAGGGCATCAATTGAGGCAGTGCAATTCCAGCAATTGTCGTGCATGCGGAGCTAAACACCACATCCTCCTTAACTTGGGAAATTTAGCCTCAGCTTCTCCACAGGCAGGATCACAGCTTCCAGAAGCTCTTGTCGCTGTCTCACTCAATGCTGTCGTAGAACCATCTGCCGTACCTTCCACATCCACTGCTCTTATTGCTCAGGATTTCAGTACTGACATTGTGCTCCTAGCCACTGCCACCGTTCTCGTAAAAAATCGGTCTGGAGTTTTCGTTCCATGTCGAGTTCTTCTTGATTCGGGCTCTCAACTGCATCTAATAACATCACGCTTTGCAGATCAGCTTCAAACAAAGAAGATAAAGTCCTCGGCATCTGTTACTGGAATCGGTGATTCGAGCTTTGTCACAAATGGTCACTCAGTTAATATTGCGATGCAGTCCCGAACGTTTGATTACACGGTGAACCTAACCGCAGTTATTGCCCCCAATATAACTGAGCTACAGCCTAGTTTTAATGTGGACACCAGCAGCTGGAAAATACCGCAAAACATTAAATTAGCTGACCCTACATTTTATATCCCTCAGCGTGTGGATCTTTTGATTGGCTCCAGTTTGTTTTACGAGCTGTTGTGCGTTGGACAAATTAAGCTCGCACCTGAATTACCGCTTATTCAAAAGACTCGAATGGGATGGGTTGTTTCCGGAGGATATGGCGTCTCCAATGGCTCTTCATTAATCTCGCCCCTTGCTGTACCTCTCGTTAGAAAGGAGAATAGCTTAGATCGCCTTGATGATCGTCGAAAGGTCCTGCTAATAAAATCGCCAAGCTCGTCGCTGGACTTCAATGGCCGCCATCCAGTCATGTTGCCACGGAGCCATCCTGTCACTGCCGCCATCATTACTCACTTTCATGAGCGTAGTCAGCACACAGAACCTCGGGCCCTATTCTGCATAACTCGATCACAGTATTGGCCTATTGGGGGGAGGAAGACGGAACGATTGGATGAATGGCAACGTGTGGCCTACTTGCAGCAAGTCCTCTCGACCCGATGGAAGAAGGAATATCTGACGCTACTGCAGCAGCGCTCCAAATGGCCCACCCCGAAGCCTGGCCTGGTTGTCGGTAACGTGGTGCTGGTCAAGGACGAGAAATTACCTCCGAAGAAGTGGCCCCTAGCGAGAGTCATTGAGCTTCTGTGTGGTGCAGATGAGTTGCTCGAGTTGCAGTTCTCAAGACAACATCAGGAGTGACGAAATGAGCAGTAAATAAGCTGTGTCTGCTGCCCCTTAAAGATGCTGTTGAAAGCCAAGCTTCCAACGGGGGAGTATGTCGGGTCATCCAGCCGCAGCAGATATTTAGATTCTCTTAATGCTAGCTCTTAGCTTATCTGCATAATTACCATCGCTCTCTCTCTCACTTTATCTTTCTATTCGCTCTCTCTCGTTACTTGTTGTTTTATACTTTGGGTCAGCAATCGGCTGATCCGCGTCTTAATTCAATTCTAACTCTTCCTTTTGATCTCGCGGACCATTTTTGTTAATCGCTTCTGCTAAATAAATTCGCTGCCTTTGCAGAAATCGAACTCTAAGTTTTCGTCTTTTTAATTCAACAGCTAATAAAAAAGCTTATTAGCTCAACAATGACTTTATGATGACTTTATAATTTCTGTACAAAATTTACACAGATCTAGACTTATGTATTATAAAGTCATCTTGAGCGCTGTAAACCATGAGGGAATATAAAAATAACAAAGAGCAAACATTATTTTTAAGTTATTATGATTTATTTCTTATAGTTATATATCATTAATTAAACAATTACGATAGTAACACTATTAAACAATATCAGTAAGAATTTATGTGGTTCATTTGGCATTGGCATTTTATGATAAACTTGGCCTCTAATTTTGAATGTAGAATTGTAATTTTGACCATTATACTTATGTATTTCGAACTATTTCTGTTGCCTCGAACGATGTCATTTGAAAGCATGAATTAAATGTTCGAATTGACTTCAGGAACACGTTAGAATCTAGATCCGTGCCGATAAGTAAACCTTTCAATGGTTCAGGTGGTGTTTCAATTTCTTGTAGTTGCACTTTTCCTGACGCGCAACACATCCCAACTGGCTCATTTTCAAATTTCAGAGCATGACAATGCGGACATTCCTTGTCCATAGCACCAATTGCCACTTTTGAGTGAGCATAATACTCAATATCGGGCTCATGCTGGAATGCTAGACGCAGTAATGAATCATATATAAATGCTCGATGTACCTGTTGTCGTTGTTGGTCATTTGTTCTGCGTCTATTGACTATGAAACGGCGTGGTTGTCGTTGTTCTAATCTTCTGACTTCATTGCGTTCAGCTCGTGTATCTTCTGGCTCTTCTCTGACTTCATTGCATTCAGCTCGTGTATCTTCTGGCTCTTCTCTACTTTCATTGCGTTCAGTCCGTGTATCTTCTGGCTCTTCTTGATGCAATTGCGCTATTCTTTCGGATCTTCTATTTCGCATGTATCGAGATCTACTTCTATCATGGATCAAATCTCCCCCTTTGCGTTTTCTTGGCATTGCTCTCTGGACAAAACACTCATAAATAGAATTAAAGATTTTACTTAATGATGAATGATTTTTGCCGCAGTTTAAATTGATTTAAAATGCTATGGTAGCGTGTTTTTTCAGTGTGATGAGGTAGTAACTCACTTTATACGCGATTTTTGGTATGTCGAACAGGATTTAAAAGGATGAAAAATAGATGTTGGTTGATTCTCAGACCTATGCAATACGCTCACAAAATTTCATGAAAATCGGTATAGCCGCTTCGGAGGAGTATGGTAACAAAAACACGAGAATTTTATATATTAGATAATGGAAAAACTGATAATCTCGTTGGTTTTAATCCCATGAACATGATTTTATTTGGAATATGGAGTTTTTTAATAACTCTTGAAGCGTGAAAAAAGGTTATTAAAATCAGACAACGTATCATATAGGAAAGATTGAAAAACCTATATAGAATTAACGGAATTCAACAGAAAAAATTATAACATCGTTGTTTTTTATCAGACAATCATAGTTTTTTAAATACTAATTATAATTTTCCAATGATTCTGAAATTTTGAATTCAATTCCATAAAAATCGGACGCCACTATCATATAGCCGTCATATGAACAATCGTCGAAAATATATAGACTTAATTCGACATAACTTCGATGTTGCTTAGTATTTTGTTTGTCTTAAAAAAAGGAATATATTTATGGAAAAATGGGTTTGGCTTCACCCTTTTTTAAACACAATGCACTGTGAAATATTTTTACTAGAGAAAAGAAAAGATCCTTGCGAATTTAGGTCTTGTTATGCCTTGTCTATGCTGCAGCTGTTTTAGCAATTAATTAAAATTACAAGTAATTAGCTCAGACCGAACTTAATTGCGTTTTATACCTGTTAAGTAATAAATTTTTTTTATTAGCTATTTATATAAAAACACGAAAATTTTGAGTTCGATTTCTGCAAAGGCGGCGAATTTATTTTAGCAGAAGCGATTAACAAAATGGTCTGCGAGATCGAAAGGAAGCGTTAGAATTAAATTGAGACGCGGATCAGCCGATTGCTGACCCAACGTAGAAGCCAACAAGCAACGAGAGAGAGAGCGAATAGAAAGATAAAGACAGAGAGAAGATGGTAATTATGCAGATAAACTAAGAGCTAGCATCCCCCGTTGGAAGCCTGGCTTTCAACAGCATCTTTAAGGGGCAGCAGACACAACTTATTAACTGCTCGTTTTGTCACTCCTGATGTTTTGAGGACTGCAACTCGAGCAACAGAAGCTCAACGACACTCGCTAGGGGCCACTTCATCGGAGGCAAGTTCTCATCCTTGACCAGGCTTCGGGGTACGTCATTTGGTGCGCTGCTGCAGTAGCGTCAGGTATTCCTTCTTCCATCGGGTCCAGAAGACTTGCTGCAAGTAGGCCACACGTCGCCATCCATCCAACCGATTGAAGTTAAGGGCGGTCACATCCGGCTCGATGAATGAGGATGGTGGGCCACCATTCAGAAAGAGGGCTGGCGTCATCACATCCAGATCAGCGGGATTTTCTGAAATTGAGACTAAAGGCCGGGAGTTAACTACTGCCGAAATATGGCACAGAAGAGTCCGCAGCTCATCGAAGGCCAACACTGAAGGCCCAATAGCGCGGTAGAAATGGTACTTCGCCGTCTTTACCGCAGCTTCCCAGAAACCACCAAAATGTGGCGATCTGGGAGGATTAAAGCGCCAATCAATAAGCTCCGCTAGGCAAAAATCCAACGTCGCTTTCTGATGCTCGTCGCTGAGGAACAGGCGTCTCAACTCAATCAGCTCATTGCGTGCACCCACAAAGTTCGTTGCATTGTCCTACCAAATCTGCCGCGGTTTTCTTCTGGTGCATATAAATCTTTTTAGGCCATGCAGAAATGATACCGTTGAGAGATCCCTGATCAACTCCAAGTGAATGGCCTTTGTTTCGAAGCAGATAAAGACGCAAACGTAGCATTTTACTGGGGCCTTGTTTCGCACTTCCGGCTTGTAAATGAATGATCCACAAAAGTCAATGCCAGTGACTTCAAATGCATGAGATCCATCCAATCGCTCCTTTGGGAGATCCGCCATTACATGCTCCACTAATCGAGGCTTCATTCAAAAGCATCTGACGCATTTGTTCAAGACCTTGCTCACCGTCTTTCTCCCGCCAATAGGCCAATACTGGGATCGAATTATGCAGAATAGGGCCTGAGGTCGAGTGTGCAGATTACGCTCATGAAAGTGGGTAATGATGGCGGCAGTGTCAGGATGGCTCCGTGGCAATATGATTGGATGATGGCCTGTGAAGTCCAGCGGCGAGTTTCTTATTCGGCATTCAACTCTAAGAAGCCCAAACTGATCAATAAAGGGAGATATAGATGCTAGCGAACTAGATTGGGCTATTACTCCTTTAGACTGCAAGGATTTTATATCTTCTCATAAATGAGAACGCTGAACCAGACGAAGCAATAATTGAGTACCGCTTTGGATATCCGACACCTTAAGATCCGCCTGCCGAATGCGATTGATAAATTTGAAGACGTATCCGAAAATCCTTTTATGTCTACGTATGGCGATTTTATTAGCAGGACCTTTCGACGAAGCTCAGGTGTTGACTTCTCAGCAAGGATTGGGGGAGGCCAGTCAATCTTGGGTCTGCAAAGAAATGTCGGCCCGTTAAACCAGATAGGAGACTCGCTCAGCTCAGTGGGAAGGAATGCCAGCCGGATTCAAAGAAGTTGGAACGTAACGCCACTCCATCGAATCGGTTCACTCTTGGATGGCAGCAACTCGGTTTGCCACAAACATGTTGAATCTGGAGGGCTCGTCTCGGATCCAGGACAGCGCAACCGCAGAGTCACTCCAACAATAATACTGTCCCTTAAATACGTTGGTGCCAGCTACTTCTGAGATGAGCTTAGACAAGAAATCGGCTCCACAAAGCTCCAGCTTGGGCACGGTGAGTGTCTTCAAGGGAGCAAACCTTGACTTTGAACAAAGCAACTGCGACTGTCCACTGCACACGATGTAGACACAGGCGCCGTATGCTTCCATGCTGGCATCACAAAATCCATGGACCTGAATCTCTGAGTTTGGAGACAGAACTAGCCGAGGGAAACACAATCGCTTGATTTGCACAAAACTCCTGCATATCGAACTCCATTCCGTATTCTGAGCTTCAGGAAGGCTTTCTCCCAGGATAACCTTTCCTTTTCTGCGCCATCAACTGTTGACATGTGCCCCAAGTCAAAGTATTCCTTTATAAAAGCCGCATATTGGGCCTTCAAGGCTGGTCGACGATCTAGCTTCCTCTCTAGAGACAGGAATCTACGATAAGCTTGCTGGTAGGACTCACCCAATAATTCCAGGTTGAACTTGGCAGGCAAACGAACAGAATAGTCTCCAGCAGGGGAACGAATGAAATGCTTTTTAAAGTGCGTCTCACATTCCAGTTCTTCCTTAGTAGCATGTGCAATTGGCTCCACGCAGCTTACCACCTCCCAAAATCGACGAAGAAGATCATCAAGTCGATCTAAGCTATTATCCCTACTAACAATAGGTAAGGGAATGGTCGAGATTAACGCTGAGCCATTGGAGACGCCATATCCTCCGGAAACCACCCATCCCAGGCGAGTTTTTTGTATAAGCGGTAATCCAGGTGGGAGCTTAATTTGCCCAACGCACAACAGCTCGTAAAACAAACTGGCTCCAATCAAAAGATACACACGCTGAGGGACAAAAAACGTAGGGTCAGCTAATTGTACGTTTTGTGGTATTTTCCACCTGCCGATGTCCACATTGAAACTAGGCTGTCGCTCAGTTATATTGGGAGCAATAACTGCGGTTATGTTCACCGTGTATTCATACGTTCGGGACTGCATCGTAATATTAACTGAGTGACCATTTGTAACAAAGCTGGAATCACCTATTCCAGTAACAGAAGTCGAAGTCTTTATCTTCTTTATTTGAAGCTGATCTGCGAAGCGAGATGTTATTAGATGCAGTTGAGAGCCCGAATCAAGAAGAACTCGACATGGAACGAAAACTCCAGACCGATTTTTTACGAGAACGGTGGCAGTGGCTAGGAGCACAATGTCAGTACTGAAATCCTGAGCAATAAGAGCAGTGGATGTGGAAGGTACGGCAGATGGTTCTACGACAGCATTGAGTGAGACAGCGGCAAGAGCTTCTGGAAGCTGTGATCCTGCCTGTGGAGAAGCTGAGGCCAAATTTCCCAAGTGAAGGAGGGTGTGGTGTTTAGCTCCGCATGCACGAAAATTGCTGGAATTGCACTGCCTCAACTGATGCCCTAACTTAAGGCAGTTTATGTAAAGAGCGAGCCTCTTCACTTCTTGAAGCCGATAAGCAGGGGGCAGGGCTTTAAAATCTTGGCAGTAATGAATGGAGTGACCAGAAGCATTACAGTACGAACAAATCCAAGGGTTAATATTTGTGGCAACAAAAGCGGACCTACGGGAATTATATCCATTATATCCCACCTGATTGCCAGACGCATAGCTTGCCATGGCGAAATCCATAGTCTCCAATGTTCTGCATCGCTGCTCCAAAACACCATGGCCATGCCATGAATTCCCACGTCGGAATTAGATTGACGAATGCTGGATCCTCTAACCGCTCTTCCCATTTGGCCTGGCTCGCAGGATCTAGCTTTTGAAGCAGTATTTGGACGATGATGCGTCCTGCGATTTGCCCAATCCCTTTAGAGCACGAATATGATCGTTGAATTTATCAGACAGCTCACGAAGCATCGAGACGGAACCACTCTGCACTGCCTTAAGCCCCAGGATCTCAGTAATGTGTGCCTGAAAAACCAAACGAGGATTATCAAATCGGTTTTGCAATAAGTCCAAAGCAATAGAATAATTGCCATCCGAAATTTCCAGCGAGCGGATGGATTCCAACGCAGAATCCCTTAGGCATGATCGTAGATGCTGTAGCTTTTCTATGTTGGTCAGGTCAGGATGACTATCTATGATGGTTGTAAACATGGAATAAAAATCTGCCCAATTCGCATAACCTCCAGCGAATTTCGGAAGTTTAAGAGCGGGAAGTGGAATCGCTCGGTGCAGAGCTTGTCGCTGCTGATGGCCGAAATGACCGGGTGTATTACCATCAGTAAAAGTTGAATGCTGAAGTAATTGCGAGGAGCGCTTCGTGATCTCCGATTGAACCGTCGACTTCAGAATTACGACGACATCATCAAATTTCTCCTCCAATTCATTTCCAATTTCCTCAAAATCCAACTCTTTGAGCTCGTAGAGAACCTTTTTAAATGCCGTTTGAAGTTCCTCGATAAGTTCCAACCTCACATGAAGGCCAGAATCGTCAAAAGAATTTAAAGCCGAACTTGAAAGAGATTCCATTAACCGCTCCACTCTATTAAACATTGAAGTTGCCTTGCGCTTCAGAAATGTCACCCTGCTTGAATTGCCATTGTCGGTGACGCTTACCGAAATTTCTAGAGACATATTAAGGGGAGGTTCTTTTGGATTTTTCCGAAAACTAAGCAAACTTTGAGAATTGCGGGAAAATGAAAAGACATACGAACTTATGCTTTTGAACTTTTGATTCGTTGTTTATTAACGATTAAAAAAAATATTCAATATTCAGGAAATTCAAAATGGCGGCTTCAAAATGGTGGATCTCGTCGACCTCTCTTTTTCTGCTTTGTCTAGTGTCGGGCCGCTGGTAGTGAACTGAAATTAGAAATGTATATAATTTATTAAAATTTATGGAATTTTCTATGCCTTATACCTAACGACAATCAATTTTGGTAAAAATAAACCAATTTCATGGACGTTTAAAAAAAAATTGACATTTTTTCTCTTTTTTTTTTTACTTTGATCTCGTTTAAAAATTATAAATAAACAATTTTTTATGCCAATTTTAGGTATAAGGCAAACAAAATATACTTTTTGTATGTATTTGTATTTTGTATTTTCAAACATTTCTTGAATGAAGGAAATCGGATCAATAGAACGAGCCCTGTGCGCGACAAGAGGTTTGAAAACATGGTTCCGAGAAAAACGCGTTTAAAGTTTTTAGAAACTTTGCCTTGAGATAACTTTCTTGTTCGATAAGTTATCACAACCATCATCCGCTTTAATAGGTTTTTGGGGTCGCTGATTACGAATTTGAGGTCAAATTTACAAAACGTTAAAGTAGTTGCTTTATCAACCGTTATTCGTTTCGGGACATAAGGCATCATCTAGAGCTGCGCGGTAAATCGGCGCGCTGAGCGTGCCACAGCGCGTGACATGGGTATGTTTGACACGCTCTAGCTCAAGAAATACGCGTCGTATCGAAATATCCCTTGGCACGTATATTCTACACATATTTTATTAAAAAAAAAAATTTGATTTTTTCAAAAAAATCCAAAAGAACCTCCCCTTAAGCAGCAACAACGACAACAATAGCAGCAGTTTGGGCGGGCAAAATTCGGCTTCAGCGGGAAGATGAACGCAAAAGGGGAATAGCGAAAAATTATCCGCTACTGGTCTATATATCGCCTTACGTCCGAGTTTGTGTAACAATTTGTTTAGTTGCACATATCAATTAATATATATATGTACATTTATATTGTTTATGGCAAGAAAACGCACAATTCAGCTGCAACTCGGCGGGCAAAATTCGGCTTCAGCGGGAAGATGAGCGCAAAGGGAAATAACGAAAATCGGTCCGCTACTGGTCTATATACCGCCTTATGTACAAGTTTGTGTAACAATTGTGATATTTTTTTGCACAAATAAATTTATATATTTGTTTGTATTGTTTATGGCCGTTTAACGCACAATCCAGCTGCAACACAGATCAAGTAAAATATGCAGCCTGGTAAAATACATTAAATTTTTGTGACTTGCACTGGATCTTTTTTATGCACAGATCACGTCGGGGTCACCAAATGTTGAGCTAATAAGCTCTTTTATTAGCTATTTATATAAAAACACGAAAATTTAGGGTTCGATTTCTGCAAAGGCGGCGAATTTATTTTAGCAGAAGCGATTAACAAAATGGTCCGCGAGATCGAAAGGAAGCGTTAGAATTAAATTGAGACGTGGATCAGCCGATTGCTGACCCAAAGTAGAAGCCAACAAGCAACGAGAGAGAGAGAGAGCGAATAGAAAGATAAAGACAGAGAGAAAGCAATGGTAATTATGCAGATAAACTAAGAGAACATTTAGAGAACCAAAATATCTGCTGCGGCTGGCGCTCCGACAACACCCATGCAGAAAAAAAAAAAAATTATCTCGCCGTTGTTTTTAATCATATCGACTAGATTTCCTCCAGATGGTGTTTTTTAATTAAGATCGAATTTCGAATTAAATTTTATTAAAATTGTATAATAAATACCATAGGAAAGATCGAAAAATATAGGTATATAAATAATGAATAAAAAATGATAACGTTGTTTTTTATCCCACGAGCATGATTTTAAACTACCTTTGAATCAAGAAAACAATTTCATAAAAATCGGACTTTTTATCCCACGAGCATGATTTTCAGAACATGACTTTAAGCTACCTTTGATCGAAAAATTTATATAGAAATAATGGAAATAAAATGACTCCATCGTTGTTTTTCACCAGACTAGCACAATTATTCTAATATATACCTAGTTTTCTAATGAATCTTTAATTTGGTAGCACATTTCATTAAAATCGGACGACACTATCATATAGCAGTCATATGGATAACACAGTCTTACAAAAAAAAATACCCCGTCCCCGTTGCAAAATCTTTGTAAGACAGTGTAATCGTCGAAAATAAAGAAACTTAATTAAAAAATCGTCATAGCTTCGATGTTGTTTAGCCTTTATTTATTTTGCTTGACATATATGATGACGGCAAGGGTATATAAGATTCGGATTGCCGAAGCTGGCTTTCTTTCGTGTTTAAAGCATGTTTCTAGGCCAAACTAAATAATCTTGTCTCTACAGGCGTCCTATAACAGTGTATTAACGGGTGAATATCTATATATGTATATAAAAATGGAGACAAACAAGAAAGGAAGCTAACTTCGGTAAGCCGAAGCATATATACCCCTGCAGTCATAAAATATTTCAAACAAAATACACAAAGGCTAAAAAACATCGAAACTATGACGATTTTTTTATTAATCCATACTTAATAGTATAAATGCGAAAATGTTTCTGTCTGTCTGTTACTCTTTCACGCCTAAACGCAGTGGCGGATCCACGGGGGGGAAATTAGGAAAATTTAGGAAAAAAATTGAGAAAGAGTCGAAGTCTTGAGAACAGTATGGGACATATATGTATGCCGGCAGAGATATCGAACCAATGCACAGTGGGCCCAATGAGAAATTTGGCGGAATATAAGTCCAAAAAAAATTGTTCAATATATGGTTAAATTTTTTTTATTTCAATGTTAACACTCTATGAAGCTCACAAAAGCTTGTTAAAAGCTTTCAAATGGGTGTTGTGATCAATTGTGAGCTTTCGAAGTAATCAAATGTTTTTCACGTGTGTATGCAAATTTTTAAGGTTTGTTTTGAGTCGTGTTTAAAAATTTGAAAAATATACATACATATTGACGATTTTTAATTGAAGTAACCATTGTTTTCGTTAAAATAAGGTATGTACTAAATGTAAATAATGTGTTCGTGATTTATCTATGTATGTGTAACCTAAAAATATATATGTAGTTATTAACATGCTTTTGAAGTAATGTTTTTTAAACGCTTTACTGTCTTCGTTGGTCTGTAACTAATGTGATTCAATCATATTCATGCTAATGTTAGTATTTGTGAGAAGTGTAAGTCCTTGTGGTGTCAAAATGTCCAAAATGAGATCCAACTACGGCCAATTCTGAAGTCTATTTCACTTTATAGGTAGAATGTCAGTCCCTAGGAGACGTCTTTTTGCCTTGTGGCTTAGCGAAAGTGTGGCAGAAAAAATTTTTTTTTATAATTTTTAAAAAAAAATTTTTTATTATTTTCATATAATTGCTTATTGAATTTAAAATGTTTAAAAATTTATTTTTTGAAAGACTATAAAGTTACGAAATTCACTATATTTTTTATATGAATTGTATGAGATTTACTTGGGGTAACACCTTAATATTTTCCGAATATGTCAAGAATACATTAAGAATATTAAGTTAAAATGTTCAATAAAATATCAATTCATTTACCCCAGTTATTATTAAAATTCCGCTAGCAGAGGCACTTGACCCACTGTGCAATGGGGCGTTCGATAGTCGCAAGCGGCATCATGTCTATATGTTTTTCGTAGTTCGTAGTGTCACCCATGGTAGAATTATACAAGGTAGTCTCGTCGGCTGCAAAATCGTTCGGGTTTTTTCCCCCTATCGACCCGAACCCATAGAAAAACACTCTCTCTCTCGCTCTAATTGTAGTGTCGATAGGGGGAAAAAAAAGCCGACGAGACTACCTTGTACTTATTATACCATGGTGTCACCTAGCGTCAGTTGATCGAAAGATTCGCAAAACTTGGCAGCCATCGTTTTGCGTTATGAAACACGCAATGTAAAAGCATTTTTCTGTTCCGATAAAAATTAAGTTTCAATTTTATCGTATGTTACAATGTGCGCGCGAAATTATCGTATGTCCATACAAATTTGCATGGAAATACTGCAATCGCACAAAAATTCCGAAATACAAAAATAAAGAAAAAGCTTCTCCTGTAAAATTTGATTTTTCTACAGTCGCGGAAATGCGTCGATATATCTATACGATAAGCCACATTGTGTACAAATTTTGAGTCAATTAAAGTCAAACTAACGGAGTTACAGCGTTTTAAACAACCGAATTTGGACGTATTTTCACGTATAAAAATACTTTGAATCGATTTTGCCGAAGACGTTATTTTGAAAGTCGGTGAACATCAGAACTCAAAATCTACTGAACCGATCCTTTTCAAATTTTTAACACAAATTCTCAACATAAATACGCAGGTAATCAGGAAGAGATTTTTTTAATTTTTAATTTTTTTATATTTTTAAAAAATAAATTAACAGCGATTTTTTAAGCTAAAATCGCACTTTTCACTTTCAAGTGCTCCCAAAAAAAGACAAAAAATAAATTTTAAAAAAACTCTTCCTGATTACCTCGGGAAATTCATTATCTTTACAACGCATATCACGTTTTTTTTTAAGATGATCCGTTAACGCCCTATGATGTTCACCGCAAAACAACTTTTTCTTTGGGCGCTTCGGAAGATTAACCGTCACAAGCTTATTTCTAAATATTTTTTAATAATTTTTTTTCTAATATTCTTCAAAAGTTGAACAATTAAATGTAATTAAGCTCAAAAAAATAAACTTACTCATTTCGCCGCAAAAAAAAATCAAACATGGCCCCTTTTTTGGCCTTTAAAACCTTACCCCCCCTTAAGTATTTTAATAAAATAGAACAGGTACTTAATAGAAACTAAATTTTTATGTTGACATTAAAAGCAAAATCGTCGTCTATCCGCCTCGGTAATTGCTGCACCATACCAAGATAAACCAAACGAATTGGCTTCAAATACCGTTTTGATGCGTTTGTCCGCTGAACGCCAATGATTTTGCATTGTTTCACTTCTACTGATATTGACATCTCTCAGTTCCGTGGCAGATCCAATAGATATATCGATTGTCTGTTCATTCGTTATGTCCATAAGTATAGGTGTTCCAGTGGTACTCGCGAGGTCGGCTTTGCGACGTTCCCGTAACCGTC